AAAATTAATATAATAAAATCAATAGATATTACCAAGGATACTGCATCCATCAAATATGAATAGAAAAAGTAAACAAAAAAAATGTAAACAACATGTTCAGAGCTTGTTTCAATAGGTTGATGATAATTAAAGATTCTGATAAAAAATGACTGAATTGTTTCAGCAGCAAACAACATCAGGTAAGAGAATGTTGAAACTTCAATAGGTTGATGACAAGAGTTAGAAATTTTAACTATAAACTGGTATTTCAAAGTTTTATATTATATACTTTTATTTTTTAATTATCAATTAAATTTATAATAATATGTAATTAAATAATAAATTTAAGTTAAATGTTATTATTATTCTATGTCAACAAGGATGATATTAAAAAAAATCAAATACTATTTATTCATGTATGAATGTAAAGCTATAAAGCTTTAAAATAAAGTGAAATAGAAAAAAAATTCTCACATTAATAACTCAATAAATTTATTGTAAAATTAACTGTATAATTAAAATATGGATATTTTTATTTATAAGACCTAATCATAAATTTTATATTATTATGATACAAAAATCATCACATATGATTAAAAATGTTGATTGTTGTAATTGAATAGATGGAAGATACTAAATGAATATAATAAAAAATAAAAAAATGAATTAGTTTAATAGATATGTTTCATGATTTCAACAATATTATATATGCATATCATGTCAATAGATAAAAGATAATTAGTATGCATATTGTGCTTGTTTTTAGCATGTGTTATAAAAATTTCTTAATGTTATCTATTTGAAATCAAACTCAATAAAGAAAATTTAAAGTCGTAGAGATCTAAGAAATTTATTTAATTTTTTCTAAATTTTTTTAAACTCGATGTATATAACTTGCATAATGAAAAGTTTGCAACTTTTTTTTTATAAAAGATGTATATGGTCATATACATGTGAAATATATGTATATGTAAAAATTGTACATTGTTTGTGCATATATATATATATACAATTTTTTAAATATTTGTGAAGAAACAAGTCAATATATGTTTTAATGCATACTAATAAGGTTGATATTATTTATTTCTAGCATGTTAGCTATTGTTACATAACAAATATCACAAATTTTGTTTGTGACACACAAATAAGGTAATTTAAAACAAAACATATATGATTATGTCAAAAATGCTCACAAAAAAATAAAATGTGTGTTTTTTTTTCTCATGTTTACTTGTATTTTCTGTGTATTATTTTCTAGCATTGATTTTTAATTTCATAAATCTATTTGAAATATACATTTGATTACTTATATATATTCAAATATTTCATAATATTTCAAATCTAAAGATCTCAAATAGAAATTGAATCATTGATGTGTCAAGTTTTATATTTTTCCTATTTTCATAAGAACGCATTCATCATCAGAATTTCATTTATTTAAACTTTTAAGCTTTGAAAAATTTGGATTTATTTGTGCTTTTATTTGTGTCTTTGTCAATTTGCTTGAGATTGAGCAGAAATAATACCAAAAAATGAAACCATCATTATTATATACTTTTTGTTGATATTATATTTGATTGATATAATTGATGAGATTATTTTGTATCCTGTTGGTATTTGCAAAATATTGATCTTGTAGAAATCCGTGCATTATTTCTTGCATGATTCATGAGGAACTAAGATCACCTTGAATGAACTAACACTAAGTAAAAGTTTAGTCTTGTTGGTTTTACCTTAAATAACCTAGAAGTAGAAGTTAGTCTTTAATCATATATGCTAATTAAAGTTATGAGTAAAAAAGCACTACATTAGTTGAATTTTTTATATTGAGAGATCACATCTAGACTTTACATTAACATTTGATTATATTTGACTTCTAATTGAAACACATATGTTTGAAGATGAGGAATAATTTGTAAGGAAACATACATATAATTTATAAAAAAAAATTTGTCTTTAAGCCATGGCTTATATGAATGGCTTATATTAATGAGGATGTTAATTTCATCTTAAGATTTCTAAATTGATCATTTATTATCAAAACTATGCATTCATAGGTATTTTAAATCCAATTTTGTGCAAATGTTCACACTAGTATATAATGATTATTAAACACTTAAGATAAAAATAATTATAAAAAAATTAAATCAAATACATTCATAAACTTTTGATTTTATCAAAAAAATAAATTTAAAAGTAGTATTATGATTGAAATCACAATTTTTGTTTATAACGTTCAGATGATTGATGAGACAATTTTTTTTAATAATTAACACCCTTCTCTTCAGTTTAACAAATAACAAAATTATTTAGATTCATCTTGTAGGTTTAAAAATCAAGACATATGATTCTAAATCTTGTTTTATTTTGGCAATTTTCACAGTCTGAAGCTCTCATAAGATGTTTGTGATCAATAAAAAAATTTGCATTCAACATTTAAAATCGTTTGAATTAAAAAAAAAATGTTTGAATTTGACATTTGTAAAATTTTTATTTAACATGGCATCGAACAATATTTTATTTACATAACCACCATTTCTTACTAGAAAAATTTAAGTGTTTTTTCATATAGTCTTCTCTACTATTGCTTGTAAATTCAAAAGTCTTTTCTATACCTTTCACACTCAAAAAACTTTGATTGATATCTTCAATAACATCATCACACCAAAATTAAGTTGAACTTGTAGCATGAAAGTTGGCAAGGACATGGCCAGACCTGTGAGTTTCATGTAAAAGGACAGCTTCATCATTGAGAGACAAAATTACACTCATGGTTTTTTGGCCTTTAGATTCTCATCAACTTTGGTATATTTTTGTCTATGCTTGGATATAAATTCATACTTAGCATGTCTGAAAAAGATGTAAATGAAAAAATTATTATATTAATATTTTAGTTTAATTAGGTAATATATTGTTGAAAATAAAAACACAAAATCCACAAAACACAAAATCACAAGCATATGCGCATATACTCGGTTCGTCACTACGGACGTACAAGAAGAACAAGAAGGTTTTACTGAAAGCTACAAACGTTCGAGGAGAGCTATGGCTTGTGCCCCTGTATAGTGGGTAGTAGAAACCCTAACAAAAGAAGAAAAAATCTAAAACCTAATTCTAACTAGGGTTAACCTAGCTAGAGTTTGAGTTAATACTAACATATGTGAAGTATGTGAACAGAAGACAACATTTTACAGATATTTTACATTCATTGTAGGTTTTATGTGAGTTTCAGATTTAGGGTTCAACTAAAAATCTACACTCTCCTTTAACTACTTAAATTTAAATACACTATTATGAAATCCTACATTGAATTTTAGTCAATTGAATCATTTTAACACTATGAGTGCTTTTTTACGATATGTTGGGAAAGCATTCAATTTCAAGAATCTTGGTTCTATCATGCATGAGAGTTTCTACTCGTAAAGTTTACTCTTTTCAGTTCAGGGAAATTTTTCTTTGTCTACGTATTATATCCTCCTGGTTTGCAACACATTTTCACTTGACTTGATGATGATTTGGAGGTCACATAATATACTTAAGCTGTGGTGTTTGAGATGATACGTGAGGTTGAATGAAGGAAGCATTTGGCGAATTACACTCCTCAAGAGGTGATGACACATTTCTACACTTGGGTTGATAGTGATGGTGAATACTAACTGATGGCAATTGCTATTACACATAGCACAACTTCAAACTGCCAGTTCATTTCATTCTACAGTAACTTCCAATCAATCGTAACCTTGTTTGTTATCACAGTTCAAATCTTGCTCTAGAAAGACAATAAGCTTTACGAATGAACAGCGATTGGAGCAACAACAACAAAATATGAGTATGAAATCCTGTCATCTCTTTCTTACTCAACTGTAAGAATAAGCGTAAGGAATATATGAAGATACGCATCCAACTTTACATGTTTGTTAGAGGTGCACAAAAGGCGGTGACTACGACTATCTTAATATTTAGACTATGACTTTCTTTAATGTGTTATCTGACCTACTTTAAACGACATGTTTTCATTACAATAAATTGCATCATAGAAAGCAATAGTTAGTATCATACATCGAATACAAGTCATAATTTTCAATATATACAATTGGTCTACTTGTACTTATACATAATATATTATATTTCATGACCAAGGTAACTAAATCACTCTGCATATGAAAAACTATTCAACAGCAACTTGCTGTGAATGCAGAGGTTGCTGCGATGGCCTAGTACGAACGATTACACTTCCAAGAGTCAACATTTGCTTTCAAAACGCGGAGCAAGTTCACATAAAGTTTTCCATTATAATAAAAATATCCCGACATTATGGTACAATGTGTGAAAAGACACACACAATACCTCCAACACTTCCGTCCTTGCTCCAATTACTTTTACGAAGATTTGAGAATGCATGGGCCACTAAGTCTGTCCTTTTATACTTCGTTCGACAGTCTCTCTGCCAACACGACTTCACTGGAAATGTACACTTTGGATGCGCATTTCAACATCAATATCGTAATAAGTCCGGAGCTCTTTGAAAGCATTAAACAAAAGTTCAAGCATGAAAGAGAGGGGGCAAAACCCCAACCAACAGCGAATTCAACAGAAAAATGGACCAACAAAAACTTGATCCTCACTCCAAAACCTATGCTCTGAAATCGAATTCAAACCTTACGTTATTCCGTCTTCATTTCCAAAACCTTTTGGCCTAGTGCGTTGACTTTTGCATCTGCTCAAGTTCAAAAACACAGTGCGAAATGAAAACATCTAAAGATCTGAAGATCGAAGGGTCTGACTAAAGAGATTGACAATCCTCGAAAAACACATATCCGCACATTCCAGTTATTCAATTAGCAGATGTCTATCATTAATTTACAGGAAAAGAATTATGAGATATTATTACAAATTTGAGCAGCAAACTAAGACCTACAACTCACTCACATTGAATTTCAAAGGATTGGGTTGAGAAGGGATCCCCTTGAGAAGTTGAAAATACAACCATGAAGTACGCATTCTCAATGACAATCGAGCTTCACAGGAGCACATGAATGTGGAACAAGTGCGAAAGTGCAGATTCGTGTTGACAAGTTCAAGACAAGATCATTGATCACAGCTCTCCCTTGAACAAGAACTGCTGGCCCATCTTACCAATGAGGTAAAGCCACCTACCAAAGTCCCAAGCAGCCTAAGGTGTGATGTTCTACTCATATGATATACTCTGGTGAAGTCACCAGATCCCTGTCATCCGTGCACAATTCCAAATAATTTTCTCTTGTGTACATATGTCCGCTGGACGATTTCAAATGAAGCTCTAATAGCTGACGCTACAACTCTGGTGCTTCCTCTCCAGACGTGATTCCATCATTCGTCCTTCTTTGTGTACTTGTCAAGAGCCTGGAGCCGTTCGACAAGCGGTGGATGAGAGTAGTGATATGCTGAGTACCAGGGATTTGTGTTCATTGCTGAAAGGCTTTCCTCCTGTCACAGTAGTAGTGCAGCATGTTAATATTCAGTACAAAGCTCCTTAAGGATTAGTGGATCTTTATAAGAACTCTTTGCCTGTAGTATTAGAGTTCGTCATCTAACCAAACAAAAAGTTTGAATTCAAAACGTACATATCAATACTAACTTTCTCATCTAGAGATGCAAATCCGAAGGATACTCAGAAAAGATAAAACCATAAACAGTTTTTGCATTCTTGACCGTACTTGTAACTTGATGAGGCCTCGCAAAGAATCTGCGTAACCAAGCTTCCTTGCGAATGCATCGGCCTGTAAAGAAACAGAAAGCGAAAACTGAGTTTAACACGAACTAAAACTCATGAGAATTTCGAAGAAAGCGAGAATTGTAATCTACTCATTGTTTGTTTGTCATCTAAATTGTGAGCACCATTTGGTAAATATCGACGCAAAATAGTAGCAACAAAAGTATTGAGCTACTTCAACAACACGATTGTACAGCCGACTACGATACTGCGGCAAAAGTTTGCAATTGATGTATATGGGGATGAAACGGAGAAGGGTGGAAGGGAACGTTAACCTGAAACTCGAATTCCCTGCTGACCAGGTTGAGGCCAAAGCTAACAAGATGTTGCAAGGGCATGATTGTATGCTGCATGTTTCAAGAAATCGAGACGGCCAGAAACGAGATATAAGACCAGAAAGAAGTTATACCTCTTACAAAACAAATTGTTCAACTAAACTTCTACTGTACATCAAAGAGGGCAGTAGATGTGAAAACAAATGTATTTCTTCAAGATTCAAAAAAATGGCAAACTCTCAAGAAAATTAAGAACTACGGAGCTATGTCAACGAAGGATATTGATGACACAACTCATTTGATCTGGCTGTCACCATTTATCTCGATCAGCTGTTGGTCAATATTAAGTACATAACTGAAGAGGAGAGGGAAAGAACCTGGAATAACACGAGGCCAATAAGAACAGGCTGGGTTGAGAAACCAAAACTTCGGAAAAGATCAGTTGAATTGCGAACTAATGTATAACCGCCGAATTGCAACAGCGTAAGAACCTGTCAAGTTCAAGCTAATCAGTCAAGCTCAATGGTCGATTCAAGTTGTCATGTTCTTAATAAGATGAATGCATAACGTACAATCCGGAGCTACAGGTAAATAACACCCTATGTGAACTCAAATCATCCGGTAAGCAACGAGCAAGGTTTTCGACAGTAGCCGTCTGTCCTAAGCAACCATAAAGTAAGAAAACTTGGAGAACAATTTGTGTATACAAATATGCAAGGCCTGCATGAGTGCTTGGTCTGAATTTAAACACTCCAAAAACATGAAATACTGTGATCAGCTGTTGGTAAATACCTGCATGGCTAGAAAGGAATACATGGTATGACTAAGCTGCCAGTGGCCAAGTTCATGTGCGAGAACTGCTACGACCTCTTCCTCCTTACACTGCAAATTTCGTCATCTGGTCAGCATCGAATCTCTTCACTTTGATGATATAGGCACAAAGATCGTTGATAGATGCAAAAGCACGATCGTCCGGATTTACGTTACAAACATAGTAACAACATTCCTTCTAGAAAACCAAATGACTTCAGATAAAGCGATGGAACATATATTGCTTATTCCAATGAAGCAACAATTCACCAGAAGTACCTGTTGTATAAGTGTATCATAAAGCACAATGCGCTTGCTGTTGAAAAAACCATACATGTATGCCTGCAAAACCGTATCATCTTAGACCTTAAATATCAACGAAGCATGAGGCAGAAGAACATCCATGTATGATCTGAGCACTAATCCACGAATGTGTATCAACTTACATTGCTATGGCTAGATCTTGTGGATCCGTCAATGACAAACAGCTTCTTCAAGGGAAACTTTAGTAATGACGCCAGCTTTTCGATTTTTGCCCTCAGCTCTCCTTCGGGCAGCTGTGCAGATATGCCCAGCAGGACCCATATGTTAGCGATGCGCACCGCATTGCACCGTGGGAGTAACATGATTCACAGCTTCAGGCAGTTCCAAGGTAAATGGCTGCTGACAACATATGTCTTCCAGAAAAACATTGACAGGCAACAATAAACGCTTGAACCCCGATTTGAAATACTTACTGGAGTGAACTTGTTAAACAGTCGGGCAATGAGAACGGGATAAATAGCCATCATCCCGAGTGACAAAACCAGCATGAATCCCCACAAATAAAGAGCAAGGTATGGACCTCCTTTCTGCAGACATTGGAAAACGCAGAGGACATATTAGCAAGGCACATGCAGTCATACGTTCTCGATTATGACTCGATAGACCCATCTAACTCTCTACTACCCTCCGGAATTACCATGCTTCCGCCCATTCCTGCGCAACGACCACCTCCCACGACACCCCTTCTTCTTCATCAATCGAGGTCCGAACTGCGTCTTCCCAAGCACCTACCGCCATCGCGAATCATTGGTCCCAGCTCTTACTTCAGAGAAAACGACCCACCACGAGTGCCATCCCGCATAATACCACCTCTCGCGACTCCGATGATGCTCCATCTCTCACTGCCTTCCGCCTTCGGACTGTATGCATGAATCTGTGGTAAAAACAGGCCGACCCCTCGCGCACCGCCGATCACGAACAACTCGTCGCCCACGGCTTTGAAGCCCAGGCCCCAACCATTGGTGTTCTCGGCCCGATGAGGAACCTTCTCCAGGAGTTGCCACTGGTTCTTCTCCTTGTCGTAGGACATCAACATGTTCTCGATGATGTTGATGCCATACAGCTGATTGTTCAGGACGGCGATCAAAGGTGGCGCGACTTGGGTGCTCGGGACGAACTTCTTGGGCCACATGTCCTCAATTAGATTCCAGGTTTTCATCGCCGGGTCATACACCTCTCCCGAATTGAGTATGATCGACTGTTGTTGACTGCCAATGACGTGGAACTTGCCGTCCATCACAAATCCCGAGCAGCACTTCCTCTCCGTGTTCATGTCAGGCAGCATGAGTCGGTTTCGGAGTTGTACCTCTCGACCGACTTCAGAAGACTCCTTCGACTCCTACCTCCGGCGAAGTAGGCAAATTGTCCGAAGCTGGCCGAGCCGAATAGACACCGATCAGTATGCATTTTCGGAGTCGTCGACCACGCACTCCTGATGGTGTCGAATCTCCACACTACGTATCCATCTCCGCCTTGCCCTAGGACCATCAAGTTCAGCCCGGCCACCATGCTCTCCTTGTCGCACGTGTGAACCACGAAATCGCTAGGGCACGGTGGTATCACCACCCAATCGTTCACGGTGGGTCGATACGCCCGCCATTTCTTATCGACATTCGTCACTCCTAAAATAATCACCCAATCTTCGCGAACGGATTGCAGCCTTCTAGCCTTGTACAGCTCCGGGTGCAGCAGATGCGCCTTCCACTTCTTGCACACCAGAGCCATGTCGTATATCTTCGCACGCGGAATCCCAGTCAAACACAGTTGCCCCAGCTCGTCGTGAATACTAGGGAAGTAATCTCATATCCTCGCACGTCTTGCTGATCTTGCTCAAGGTCGCAGGGCTTGACAGCCCCCATGTCCGGGCACTGGTGATTCCGCAGAGCAAGCTCGCTCGATAATCCATCGGCGACCACGGCGTTGTCTTCCACGCCGGCGAAACAATTTCTCGGCTCGCTGCTCTGCAATCTCTCGAGGGCTGCGATCACGCACGGCCATTCCCACCGAGCCCCGCTTGCGAGAAGCCGGCTCAGCGCGCATGGACAGCGACGACGCGGTGGCAGTCTACGGCAGTCCATTCCGCCCTGCCCCCATGGCTCCATTCTCCACCCTGTGCGTTCTAACAGAGCGCCTCCGAGGCCGTCTCTGGTCCGGCTCCTGGCTCGTATGAACCAGCTGCGGTTCCAGCGCCCTCGCCCTTCATCAAAAAAATATTTTCGATCTCTTGTACCAATCTAGCTATTAACATTAAATTATAACTCAAACATACTTATTTTTATTTTACATTATTTTTCCCTCTGCTACTAACATCCAATCCCTCTTCGTATAACTAATCAAAGTGAGTCGTCATGTTAGACTCACAGTTACGTTTTTCACGTTTATTTTGACCTTGTTGTGGATGATATAGAGAAGGTTACAGATTTCTTATTCCATGTGCAATTTCTTTTGACACCTTGATAACAAGTTGGATTGGCCTTCACATTAAATTCTTAGGATTCATTTCGATTAATCCATTGAACCTCCTATCCCTTGACACTCAAAAGAAAAAGATGCACAGGGGAAGATTTCCTACATAGTCACGAGCACAAACCTACTGCCATTCATCTCTTTCAGTGGAAGAAATATAAGCAAGATTCAGTGTACTTTGAGAAGCAGTTGGAGCAATCTTTGGGACCATTTTTTCACGTCATGCAGTGGGTAAGATCCAGTTCAATAACTTTCTTATGATTACATGGCAAATTAACTTAGTTTTAAAATGAGGAGAGGTTTTCATACTAACATGATATTTGGGAAGTATGATATAATGATTTTTATGCGAAAAGAGTGATAGTTGGAAACCGTAATTCAGAAGTTAATGTCACCTCCATGTCACGGGGACACGTGGTATATGTCGTAAATAACAGTTTTGATACTCGGTTTGTGGCCGCAAAGTTTTCTCAGAATTAATTCTTGCGAAAAATATCGCTTGTATTATTTTTGTATTTCGATGAGTTACGCTTCCAGCACATTTGTAATTATAATTATCAAAGAAGATTGTAAAAACTTATGATTAATACCTAAACAATTTTTACGGATTTTACATTTTTTTTCAAAACAAGCTTTCTTACACAAAACGCAATTCTCCGTAATAGTACATTGTTCAAATTAAATGCAAATATTTGATTTAAAATTTTCAGTTCTCATTCATACACATTAATTTGAATGTTAACATATTTTTTGTAATATTTACACTTGTTAGATATATAAATTTTTAGCTTGAGATTTTATGGTCATGAAATGCTTAATTTCTTATTAATCGAATTAGCTTGTACAAATTACAAAACAATTACATTGTTTTGTAATGATAGTGAACAGTTCGATTTTCTAGAAACGGTGGACGCTGTATGAGAAACTGCTACTCTCATTGACCCCTGATAGGAAGAAGCGCTCAACCTATTACTTGCTTCTGGACGTGTGTGCGAGATGCTGTACTGTTGTGGACTTGTTCTAATTAAAGGACGACCATGAATCCATCTAGATTACAAAGTGTATTATCATATCGACTGTAATAATACAATCTATATGATAATACACTTTTTGTAAGCTAGATGTTTAGTGTGTCATTGCGCTTGTGTTGTTTAGTGATTGCAGAACTCTCTGTGTGTAGTGTGGAGTGTCATGTGGACAAGGATCTCTCCAGAAAGGCGTTTTGCGATGTTCATGAGTTCTCACCGTACGTGTTAATAATCAACAGATCATTCATGTTGAACACAGGTCAATAAAAACAGTTGAAATATTTTTCGATCACATTTTTGGAAATGACGAGTATTTCAGTATTGAAGTGTTTCTATCTTCATATTCAAAGAAGAGATGTTATTGAGATGGATCACGTTAAAGTTATTCATCGTCAAGGTTTCTTACTCCACCCTAGACTATCTTAAACATTAATATTCCGTTCCAAATGTTATCCGCTCTTTTATCCCGGGCAATCATTCATTGTTAAGGTTTCATTATCAATAAGGAAATTTCACATCTTTGCTATCAATGTATATATCTGTTTTTTTTCCGATACCTTTTTTTTACACTCAGCATCATTAGTCGTAGATTTCCTTTCCAAATTCACTGAAAATGCAGGTTTGCCATCAGAGTTTTTGTCATTCAGAAGAGTACCATAGTTATCTGTGTTTTTTTCCTTCATGGTAGGTTTGGTTGTTGCAATTGTGCATTTCCTATCTCCTGCCGTTGTTACCACGCCAGCATTCTTCTCCGACACACAGCTGAACTCATCTTCCGATTGAGATTCTGGTGATGATCATGGACGATGTGACGTGAGCCACAATGATCGACTTCCTGCGCCTAGGAAATGACGGGCTTCTTTGTTCGAGCATGAGTCTATAATTGACTCAGATCTTTCAAGATCTCGTAAGACTATTAACAATTGTGGTAACGACATTTGTGCTCTACTTTAAGAGTATTTGTAACTGAACGTCCACAAGCAGTCGAATTGCAAGAGCTTTCCTGCTAAGAAACTAACTATTATACACGTGATAGCATGCTAGCGATTAAAAATGCGCAAAGATCACGGCCAGCACAAGCATGTAATCAGGTTGTAGCACGAAGAATACGAAGTGAATACGGACAAAACGGAAGGAGTTTTATATTTGCATAATGGTCTGAACATATGCTTGTCCATTGCACAATAGGATTCTAACCTCTTCTAAATCCTAACATGTCAAAATTCCACAACGAAAGCCTTTATACATGCAGTTCTCTCACACCCATGCATGCCCACCTTTTTCTAAACTCACGTATTTCACCTGATACGTATTGGCAGTTCAGTCCATGGTCAATGATGTTCTACTACGAGTTCTTGTAATTATTCTTGTAACGAATCCGGGTTAGGAAAAGCATTGCGGCTCTTTGTTGAAAAGTGACTTCTCCCCGCATACTCTTCATGGACCACAATAGGCAACATACCTCACTTCGGCGAAGAATTTTAGAAAAAAAAAAAGTAAGGAGTAAGGAATTACGCCCATTCATTTTGGGACCTGAGAAATTGAGCTCTTGCATGATGAAGATGGGAGCCATGGTAAATCTGACTAACTTAACTTCGGGAACAATTTTTTTTTTTCATTGAAGTGGAAACAAAGCATAACAGATCATAACTAACGGTGACCCGTAGTAGGGATCTATCGAGTAAAATGGATTATATTGGGTCCCATCAAGCATTCAGCATTCTGATGGGTCCCATCAAGTAAAATTCTCCTCATTTTCCGGACGGGTTGCATTTTTTCGTGTCGCCAGTTTGTGCATGGCCTTCATGACTCCACGTAATTTCCTGAAATAGATCAAATTCTTCTAATTCTAGAATAATGCAAATATGAATAAGTTAAATGTGTTGATCTATTGGAATGTTTAGTGTATCAATGACATGTTGTCACAAAATTATTTTTTATTAAAATTAATCATACATATCGAATTTTCAATGGAATTATGTAATTATTATCATTTTTATCTTTGAATTAGTATGAATGAAGAGTTAGAATATAAATTTTCAAGAAAAATTGAAGCTGAATTGGTTTCAGTTATTTTGAAAAAACACACGAAATTCTTGAAAATAATGAATCGTTTATGTATTCACTTTTCTATGATGATAAGGTTAAAAGTCATGATATACATCTTCTTCTCTAAAAATATTATTTTGATATCTCTTAAAATTTAAGTGATTTAGACATTAAAAAATGTCTTCAAACAGTTTTAAAATTTTTTCAGAAGAAACCTGGCTATGTTTTATATTTTTAATCATATTCACATCTTATGATAAGTATCTATCATGAAAGATTGGAATTAAGAGAGTATTCAAGGATTTTAAAAAAATAGCTCAAGGCCAAAGTTATAGATAATTAATTAATACGTGAATTTGTAAATAAATTTAAAATTTTTTGTAATTATAAATGTTTTGGATCTCAACGACATGATAGTTAGATTTTTAAAGAAAATTCATTTCTAATGAAAAAAATATGATTTTTAAGAACTTGAGGGATACAAAGAAATAAAATTTTTAAAAAATTTCAATTTCAAATATCTGGTTTTTCTAATGATTAGGAACTAATTTTTTAAACTAATTATTTACTGGTGATGACTATTTGATTGTCAAAAAATTACATTAGGTATTTTATATTTCACGGCATCCATGTGATTAAAATCTCATTCCCATATTAATTGTACATCATGCTGTCCTGATTGAGGTTGGAAATAATTCAAAAAATGATTTATTCTTTTCCATCAAGTTATCTCATAAACTTGTGATTTTTTCCAAAAAATATCATTATTAGTATAACTTAGTTTCAATATTTAAAATCAATGAGTTTTAATATATTCTTCATGCGTTTGTACTGATTTTTATGATGATTCATTAATTTTCTTGCGTTAATGATTATTCAATTTCATCAACGTAAAACAATATCAATTCGAAAATTTTTTTATTGATTCATTGCATGTGATTTCATTAACAGAATATGTGTTGATTAAATAAAACATTTCAGTTTTATCAACTGAATAATTTATTTTCATATCTTTACAAATTTCATATTTTAAATCTTTTTGAAAGGCATTCAAGGTTTTAACTTCACTCTTGTTCATGGAAAACATGTCTTTGGAAAATCAATTTTTTTTATAAATGATTTTCTTTCTTTCCACATATCATTATTTTTTTTTATTTAAAATAATTATTTTTTTGTAAAAGTCAAAAATTTCTCTAACATTCTAGATCCTGAAATCAAAAAGTGTCATTCTCACATAATGTATGAAGAAGTAGCTCATTGCATGGAATAAAATCTCATTTCAATTTGCAATAAATTGAAATATATGGAAATTGAATAAATTTATATTTATATTTGTGATCAAATTTTCGTTCTCTCTAGTTTGATTCTAATACAGAAATCTTATTAACTATGTTGTGCTGCTCTATATATTTCTTTATCATCACAATATTTAAATGTTTCATATCAGCTTTGATTGCGCTTAAAATCTCATTTGTATCAAACCATGTCTTCATGACTTCACTCACAAGAATACAACGTAAATATGAC